TCAAAGCCTTTGGGTCATATGTAAGTCCTACAGTGCAGGATGTTTTCAAAAAGCCTTCGGGAGCTTTTTGATATTTTTAAAGCCTTCAGGTCATCTGTAAGTCCTACAGTCCAGGATGTTTTCAAAAAGCCTTTGGGAGCTTTTTGATATTCAAAGCCTTCGGGTCATCTGTAATACCTACAGTGCAGGATGTTTTCAAAAAGCCTTCGGGAGCTTTTTGATATTTTCAAAGCCTTCGAGTCATCTGTAAGTCCTACAGTGCAGGATGTTTTCAAAAAACCTTCGGGAGCTTTTTGATATTTTCAAAACCTTCGGGTCATCTGTAAGACCTACAGTGCATGATGTTTTCAAAAAGCCTTCAGGAGCTTTTTGATATTTTCAAAGCCTTCGGGTCATCTGTAAGTCCTACAGTGCAGGATATTTTCAAAAAAGCCTTCGGGAGCTTTTTGATATTTTCAAAGCCTTCGGGTCATCTGTAAGTCCTACAGTGTAGGATGTTTTCAAAAAGCCTTCGGGAGCTTTTTGATAGTTTCAAAGCCTTCGGGTCATCTATAAGCCCTTTAGTGCATGATGTTTTCAAAACCTTCGGGTCATCCATAAGACCTACAGTGCAAGATGTTTTCAAATGAGATTTTAAGAAACTGATTTTCAAAGGTTTCTTGATCTTAAATCCTCCAGGTCATCTGTAAGACCTACAGTGCAAGATGATAAGACCTCCGGGCCATTTATAAGACCTCTGGGCAGAATGTTTTCAACATTTCCATTCTACTCAAAAGAAGCCAAATGAAAAAATTATTGTCTTTTTCGTCTTTGCTCTATTCTTGTTAACACAAGAATGAGCAAAGAGGGGCAGCTGTAGATATTAATTTTTTTATTTTATTTTTAAAATTATTATTATTATTACAATTATTATTATTATTAATATATTATTATTATTATTATTAAATTAACAGGCCTAATTACAAAAGGCCCGGAGGCCATTTACATACCCAACCCAGAAGGCCCAACAGACCCAAAACCCAATTAAGGTTTCCATATTTCTGTTAGTGTTTTTAAACCCTAGCTTCTACGCTATCGCCGCTAGGAAGGATGAACAGCCGCCGCCTCTCGTTATCGATGCTCCACTGCCACAACGTCTCTCCAAAAGACTCCAGAAGCTTTGCTGCCATGACAACAATCGCACACGCGTCACCATTTTTTGGTGAGTCACCACAAGTTTGGTGACTCACCAAAGTTTGCTCCTTTAACCGGTCCGAAGCCATCACCGGTGGTGGCTATAAAAGCCACTGATCCTGCCAAGAAGAAAGACACACTGACAGCAAACCCGGAAGTAAAGAAGAGCAAAGACCACCGACGAACAACCAACACAGCAAGACAACGACGAGGAGAGCAAAACAGAAAAAAAATATAAGCCGAGAAAACTTACCCTTGAAGAGCCCAACCGTCACCGGAAACCATTGGAGTTCGAAGGTATAATCTTAGATCTACTCCGATTAGGAGATTTTTAGGGGAAACTAAGGCTCGGTTCGGCTTTGGGGTGTTTAGGGCTTCGTTTTGGTGTATTTTGGGATTTTTTTTGCCACCATTGACGGTGGCCGACGGCGGCGATCGGTGCTAGAGCACGACTGTCGGCCGGAAGTCAGACTCTCTCCGGTGGAGGGTTTAGAGAGAGGAAAGAGAGAAATGAATTTGATAAATGAATAAAACTAGCCTAAATGGCCTGTTAAGAGGGTTTAAATACCCCTTCCCGAACGACGTCGTTTTGGGAAGGGGCATGTGTGCAATTCCATAAAGGTAAAACCCTTTCCGTAGCCCCTCTAATTTTATATCTTTGCAATTTAGTCATTGGATATCAATTTATGCCATTTTAATTTTGTCTTCACATTTTACATATGTTTATTTTAGTCCTTTACAATATATTTATTAAATATTTAGGGTAAATATCTATTTAGCCCCTATAATTTTAATAATTTATATTTTAATCATCGGTTAATAATTATGGTTAAATTACACTATTAATATTTATATTTTATGATAATTCGAATTATGTCCCTAAATTTTGATATTTTACATTTTGTTTCTGTTATTTTTAATTTTATTTATTTTAGTTACTATTTAATTGCAATTTATTTTTTATTATCTTTTTGCTTTCGATATGTTTAAATTATTACTTTCATTATTATTTTCATCTTAGATATATATATATATATTTTTTTGTGTAAATAATAATATTTATTTTTTTAAATATTAAGAAAGGGCTGTCTTAATATAACTAGATGTCCTATTATGGTATTTTAAATAAATAAATATTATAAAAATTATATATTTAATTTTACTATTTTTATGAAAAATTATCACATTTTCAATATTTATTTATTTTTTTAATATTAAGAAAGGGCGGTCTTAAAATAACTAGACGTCCTATTCTGATATTTTAAAAAATAAATAAATATCCTGCTTATAAATGTATATATATTTATTTAGTTGTTATTATATTTTAGGAAAATTATTATATTATTATTATTATTTATTTATTTATTTAATATTAAAGAAAAGGCAATCTTAAAGCAACTAGATGTCATTTTCTGATATTTTTAAATAAATAAATGTCCTATTTACAAAACCCTATATATATATATATTTAATATTTTTTCCTTAGAAATATCAGATTAAATTTAAAATAACACGATTGTAAATTAAATTAATATTCAAATTCTTAAATCCTATTATTAGAGACAATTTATGATCGACAGGGACCAATTTTGGGTGTTGTGGGAGTGTTAATCCTTCCCCAAACGTAATCTACCACGAATCCCTTTTTATTATTAAAAAGAACGAATTTTTGTTAAACGTAGACCAGTTTATTTTTTTAACTGATGTTTTCTTAAAAACTCTTTTAAAAGACGATTTTTTAGGTATTCGACCTACCTAAACCAAAAGGCCAAAGGCGACTCCAAAAACATTTTTTAAAATAATCAAAATCATTTATTTATTCATTTTACTTTTCACGCCAAGTAAATATTTCGTGCCCGGACGAAAACCGGTTACGACAATTGTAATATGATAAAATATGACCTTATAATCTTAAACGATTATCGTATCTCAATTAGCAAGTTAACGTCCAACTCAAACATTCATCAATTTTTTTAACAGAAAAATACGAATTTGGAATACAATGAAAAGTTGGGTGACTGTTTTATAACCTTTAATAGTAGAGTGACTCAACAAAGCAACGTCCTATAGTTGAAGGACTATTTTATAACTTTTAATAGTTGAGAGACTCAATAAAGTAGCACTCTATAGTCAGGGGACCGTTTGTGTACTTTACCCTATTTTTATTTATTTTGATTAACAAATTTTATCGACGTGATTACCTCTTTTTTTAGTAATACACAATGGCAACTCTGTAATTACAATGAATGGATATGTTATTATAATAATTACACTTTTTTATCACTACTTGTTGGGGTCTAACTACAGATGAGATGATAAATAAATTAACTAAGACCGAGCACAAAAGTTATATTTGATTGTATGGTTGGCCAAACAAAAATATAAACAAGCACTTCTTTGTATCTATTGGAGATTCAACTTTTATAGTTAAAAATATTTATAAATTTTTCACACATTAATAACTTACCTTATATATAACGACAGCATATATATTTATATATAAGATATTTTTTTTCAAAAACAAACTCATAAAAAAATTAAAATCTCACTTTATTTCCAACTAATATGATGAAATTGTTAGGAAACGAACACGGTTTGAGGCTAGTTAATCAAATGCATTAGGTATTTCAATTAGAAGTAAAAGCGTGAAATAACAACAAGACACGATTAAACATAAGACACGCTGACATGGAAAGGTGTGGAATTGTGGATAATATATATTAGATTAATTACTTTTTATATTATTATAATAAATATTTAATTATTTATCATTTTTGAACTGTTCAAATAATGATGATGTCAATTGAACATGAGGATCGGAAAAGTTAGTTAATAAGAAAACATAAATCACAGCTTAAAAATTACATTAAGCGTCCATTAATTTCGGCCAACTATGAGCTACCTAGTTGGCATCCTTCTTAATAAACATGCTTGAACATGCCACTACCGAAACAAGAGGCGCTCAATAATAGCCCTATCACCAGAATCATCCACAGCTTTATATTTCTTACCTTTCATTTAATACTTTCCTTATAAATTTATTTAGTATCTTATTGATTAAAAAAAAGTGTTATTATTCTTTAAAGTTTTACGTTCAAAATGTATTTACAAAATTAATACACATTATTAATGATTTAAAAATATTCTAAATAGTTACAATTTAATAATTATTTCAGATTATTTAAAAATATAAAAATTATACATTTTATTAAAGAGTTTAAGTTTAATCAATAATACGGTACAATGTACCTGTCGTGTTTCAATAGAAATGAAAACAAAAGAGCCTCATCATTGTCGAACCAAAAACTGACAAATGAAAATGAAAACAACTTTATTTCAGTAGGACAAGAAACTTGTCTAACTTATCGCTACGCTAAAAACCACTGAACTGCCGAGTTTTGAACAGTAACAATTCAATCTAGGATTATCTTAAATAATTGATTTTTATTAAAACATTAAATATTTTAATAATAATAAAAAGCCATCAAATCAAGTTTAAGTTTGTGCTTTGTAAAAATTCAGCTCTTTGATAACAGTTATAACAATTTTAAGTATATGTTTAAGGATTGATATATAATTTTATTTTTAAAAAATAAATTTCTAAAATCTTAATAGAGAATAAACATATAAAGTTTTAGGAGAAATTACTGTGTTTATCTATTCCTTCGCTCCATGCTCGCAATTGTCCGGAAAAATAATGGTTATGGATTTTGGGCCATAAAGAAATGACGAGACATCTTGCCGCGTGCTTTATTTGACTCCACAACAAGCTTAAGATTCATTCTCCCTCCCCTCTAAAACAGGGTCTTTTTCATTTCCTCGTCACCTTGGGTCACTCAAAAACAATTGCAGTAAAGAGATAAGAAGAAAAAATGGGAGTCAAGTGCAATCCGAAGAGGCCTAAAATCTTGCTGGTCCCATATCCAGCGCAAGGCCATGTGAACCCCATGCTAAAGCTAGGGTTATCTTTTGTTAGCCACGGGTTCGAACCCATCGTCGTAACCCCGGAGTTCATTCACCACCGGATCGCGGCCAACCTGGACCCCCACAAAGGCGAAGTCAGGTTCGTGTCGATACCGGACGGTTTAGACGGAGAAAAGGGGCCTCTGGATTTCTTTTCCATCGAGAAATCTATGGAGAATGTCATGCCGATATATCTGGAGAGTCTCCTTCGTAAGTTTGATGAAGACGAGGGGAAAGTGGTTTGTTTGGTTATTGATTTATTGGCTTCGTGGGCTATTCAAGTTGCCGAGCGATGTGGGATCCCTGCTGCCGGATTTTGGCCGGCTATGCAAGTCACTTACCGGTTGATCACCGCCATACCGGAGATGATCCATTCCGACCTGATTTCCGAAACAGGTAAATCATCATTTCATTCTACTTTTACTTTGATGATTGCCCGATTCCATTAATATTATTAATATTATTATTATTATTATTATTATTATTATTATTTCTGATGCAATACGATTAGTTTTAGTTCTCGATGACGTTGGCAAACGGCAAACTGCAGTCTGCACAAAGTAATATTCCCGCTAAGTAAATGTCAATGCGTTGACTCAAATATAAAGTCTTCTTTTATTTCCCCAACCATAGTATCATGTCATTAAAATATTTTCCCCTTACATCAAACTGCATCATTGATTGTTATTAATTTAGCTTTGAACATTATAATGTAAGTTATTTTACTTTTTTATATTTATTTTATAATTTATATTTGAAGTTTAAAATTATTTTTTAAAATATTATCTTTGAGGTTGAACTTGTTCTTTTTATTAATACTGTATTATGTTTTACCAACAAGATGCCACATTTGTTGGTATCATTCAAGTTTTAGAATTGTTATTAAGCATTTCAATGCCTTTTTCTTTTTAAAAAATATATATATATTACAAAATAACTTTAACTTTTAGCAGATGGTTTTATTAATTTTTTAAAACTAATTGAATTGAATTTATTTTTAAACAAATATTTTTATACATAAAAGAATTATTATTAACATGTTTGGTTTAAATGCAAAACACCAATTACTTAATTTTTTCTGATAATTAGTTAATTATTTTAAATCAACTTATAATTGCGAAACATATTTGATACTTTGAATTATTATCCCATAAATCGACAACAAGAAAAAATAACTTCACAAATAGGTTCATATTATCCCTTAAAAATGGTGTTGTGTTTCACGTGAAGTGAGATGACATATGACGTGTGGAACATGACCATGAACGCATTGTCCGTAGCCGGCAATGTAATCCAAGTTGTTCACTAATTTAAATGTATTTTGCAGGATGTCCACGACATCAAGGCACCGTCTTATCCCTCCCGAGTCAGCCATTGTTATCAACCGAAGATCTCCCATGGCTGATCGGAACCCAAGCTTCAAGAAAAGCAAGACTCAAATTCTGGACCAGAACGTTAGAGCGTTCAACCACTCTCCCATGGCTTCTCATCAATTCCTTCCCCCGAGAATTCATCGACGAATACGAAGCTGATGTTCGCATCGCTCCACCTCACGCTAGTCCAATCGTGTTCCCAGTCGGACCTTTAACCAAACCTTCATTAACAACGGTGAAGAACCCTAGCTTCTGGAAAGAGGACACCAACTGCTTAGATTGGTTAAACCACCACGAGTCTAACTCAGTCATTTACGTCTCGTTCGGTAGTTGGGTCAGCCCCGTCGGGGACGCCAAAATCAAAACCCTGGCTCTAACACTCGAATCGTTAAACCGACCATTTATTTGGGTCTTGGCCGAATCATGGCGGCAAGGTTTACCAAATGGGTACTCGGAGAGGGTTTCAAAGCAAGGAAAACTGGTTTCATGGGCGCCTCAATTGCAGATTCTGCGACACAAAGCAGTGGGTGTATATATCACGCATTGTGGATGGAATTCGACGATGGAAGCCATTCAATGCCGGAAACGACTGCTGTGTTATCCGGTGGCCGGCGATCAATTTGTGAACTGTAAATATATTGTTAAGGTTTGGAAGATTGGGGTGAGATTGAATGGATTGGAGCTAAAAGATGTTGAAGAAGCGGTGAGAAAGGTGACGGAGGATGAAGAAATGGAGGGAAGGTTAATGAAGATATACCAGAGAACAATGGGAGAAGAGGCTAGCTCTAGTGTTATGGGTAATCTCAAGGCTTTTATCTTTGGGCTCAATCAAGTCCAACATTTAAAAGATGTCAAAACATTTTAATTTGCTTTTTTACAAGTTAATGTATAATCCTTGCGGACCTTACGTGTGATCTCTATCCCAACCGATTATAGAAAATTAATATTAAAATAATCGGATTAATAATTTAAGCATATTTAAATTTGAATTTATATATGATAAAAACATATATTATGTATATATGATATATAATCGGATTAAGATTAATAATTTAAACATATTTAAATTAAATTTTATATATGAAAAAATATATATTGTTTGTATATAATTGATAATCGGATTAATAATTTAGGCGTTTGGGTTAAAAAATAACATGTTTGAAAGGGGATTCAATCTTAGAAATTTAGCAAGGTGTGCAAACATCTTTGCCATTAAAACCAAACTCCATATTTAATTAAATTTTATAATTTTTTATATATAATCAATAAATTGAGTTTTTTTAAGTAAGATTTAGTTTTTATATTTTTAAACTACATTTTTTATATAAACATTAAATTAACTTTTTTAATATAATTTATAAATTTTATTTATCAAAAATATAATTAATAATTTTAATTTTATTTAATGATTATATAGTAAGAAATTATATATATATATATATATAAAAATTATTAATTATATTAAAAAATTAAAATTATACTTTATATATATAAATTATTAATTATATTAAAAAATTAAAATTCTACTTTGATTATATGAAAGTTACATATAATTTAAAATTATACTTTGATTAATAAATTCAAGTTTGTAAATTTTTTTTAAAATTTCAAATTTGATTGTGTTTAAAGAAATTATATAAAAATCAATATTGTTTAAAATGTAAAAAATTGAATTTATTTTATTTAAAAATGAATTTATTGATTTTATATATATATATATATATATATATATATATATATATATATATATATATATATATATATATATATATATATATATATATATATATATATATATAATCAAATATAAAACTTAGTTTCATTATGGTGTTTGTACTCGCACTTAAAATCTCAAGTCTAAATTCTTTGTCAAGCATGTTACTTTCTTTTCTTCTTATGCCATTAATTATAGAAGGTTATATATAAAAATGTTGTAAATCATTAACAAATGAAGTGTTTAACCCAATGGTTCAGGCGTGCCTAAGGATGTTTAAGACCTGCGCAAACCACCTTAGTTGCATTTCATTTCTTCACTATATTTTGTTCCCATATATCGTCCAATAAGGTAGTTGCATGTGTCTCTACATGATTGGAGATTAAATTTATTAAATTGATAAAATTATGATCAAATTGATAGAATGTATAAATATTGACGATCAAATGTGTAATAATAGTAAGTTTTACATCACCTCCTCCGTTAAATATTAACGACTAGTGACTTAATTGAATTCATTTAAATAGTTTAATGGTTTGATTGACACAATTGAAAGATCGACGATAAAAATAAAAGGACTAAATAATTATGTAGTAATTAGTATAGTTTACCTAATTAAAAAAACTCTAAATATTTTTTTCGTTGTTTAAATTATCCACCTTTAGATTTCTATTGATTTATAATTATAAATTCAACTTTTTAAAATTTTAAATTTTTATAAATTAAATTAATAATACTCAACGATATTAACGTGACATATTCATCTTAATATTTATTACACGAATATCTTTTCGCCCCCTTTTTTGTATTTTCTTTTCTTAAGTCTTAGCTACATATTGACTTTTATTGTAACAATAACAGTAAAAAGTTCAGACATTTTATGTAACATCCCGAAATCCGGGTCAGTGATTAAAATAATTTTTTTTTGAAATTTGGGGATCAATTTAGAAAAATTTAAAAGTTCAAAGACTTAAATAGAAATATTTCAGTATTGGATTAAATGGTAATTTTGGAATGAGTGAAGGGTATTATAGTAATTTTAGCTTGAAAGATATTTTTCTTCCCCTTATTAAGAGTGAACACGTGGGATTTGAAGAATTATCTGGAACTCTTCTTCTTCTTCTTCCTTTCTTCTTCCCGTGTGCTCAAGCTCAAGCCTCAAAGATGAGTTTTAATTTTGATGGTTAATTCTTGAAGATTTAAGTTGGGTTTTATTCTTTGAGTGTTATATAAGCTTAAGGAAAGCTTATATAAGCTTAAATCATCACGAAGAAAGAATTAGAAGGGAAATTCTATTAAGGATTTAGAAATGAACTTTTGATAGAAAGAGGTTTTTGAAGTTGTTGAGTTAATCGATTGACGAAATAGCCAAGAGGGGGGTGAATTGGCAATTAAAATTTTGGTGGAAGCTTTTGCAGAAAATAGAAAATAATTGCACAGCGATTTAGAGTGGTTCGACTTTCTCAACCAAAGTCTATGTCCACTACCTTAGCTATCCACACTAAGGATTTTCCAACAAATTCACTAATTTGTTCTTTCTTTTGAGGACATAGACTAACCTTACAACTCCCTCAAGAATTATACCCCAAATTCTTGAGAACACTCTCTACCAAAGAGAAGAATACAAATTTCGCAAACTTACAGAAAAACCTCACAAGGCAAGATGTTTGCACAATTCTAGAACAAAGAAAGAACACTCAAGAATGAATACAATTGAGTATAAATGTTGTTCTTGAAAGAAAAATGAATATTGAATGAAAAATAGGCCTGAATTACTCAAACTTCATGTTTAAGGCTTTCTCTTTGATTCTCTCACGATTGTTATTGATCAATGGCTCCTAAGCTTGTTTAAATACACCTTGAATCACTTCTGAATGTTAGGGATCATTGGTAAAGTCAATAGAGCTGTTATTGTGTAATTATCATTTAAAAATTTGGTTAGGAGCATAGGTGCATCGGTACACTCTCAAGGTGCATCGGTGCACTCAGTGTAAAATTCAAATATTTCGACCGTTAGTTGACCTAGTGCATCGGTACACTTGGGGTGCATCGGTACACTAATTACATTCGATGTTTCAAAAGAGCCAGGAGTGCATCGATGCAAGGTCTGTGCATCGGTACATAAAATGTATTCGATGTTTCAATAAAATCAGGAGTGTATCGATGCATGATTGTACATCGGTACACAAAATGCATTCGAATTAGGGTGTGCATCGATACATCAAATAGTGCATCGGTACATCCCTTTATAAAATTGAATTTTGGCTCGGTTTTGGTTCGAAATACTTTGTAAAAATTGTTTCAAAAATATTTTAAGTTTAAAACACAATTTTACACTTTAGTAAGGATTGAAATTGATCTTTGAAAAACTTGGAGTAATATTTTGATATTTGAATAATTTAATCGAATATACTTTAAAATTGATTATAAAATCTTAAAATTCAATAACACATAATTTGTTATATTGAAACATGAAAATTCTTGGCAAAGAGCATCATTAGTAGAACCAAATATTATATCATCAACATAAATTTGAACTACTAATAAATCTTTACCTTTTCTCTTTAAAAACAATGTAGTGTCAACCTTCCCTTTTGAAAAACCTTTTTCAATTAAAAAGTTTGACAATCTTTCATACCAAGCTCTAGGAGCTTGTTTTAAACCATAAAGCATTTTTGTCAATTAAAAACATGATCTGGAAATTTTGAATCTTCAAAACCAGGAGGTTGTTCCACATACACTTCTTCTTTTATAAAACCATTTAAAAATACACTTTTAACATCCATTTGATATAATTTAAATTCATTGAAATATACAAATGCTAATAACATTCTAATTGTTTCCATCCTAGCTACGGAATCGTATGTTTCATCGTAGTCTATGCCCTCTTCTTGAGTATAGCCTTGAGCAACAAGTCTAGCCTTGTTTCTCACTATATTACCACTTTCATTAAGCTTATTCCTAAATACACATCTAGTACCTACAGTAGATTTATTACTAGGCCTTTCAACTAATGTCCATACTTTACTTCTCTCAAATTGATTTAACTTTTCTTGCATAGCCATTATCCAATTTAAATCATCTAATGCTTCTTTTATATTCTTAGGCTCTATGCATGAGATAAATGCAACATAATTACATATATTTATAAGAGAATATCGAGTTGTTACCCCTTTGGATGGATCGCCTGTAATCTCACCATCCTTGACATATTTGTACTCTCTTGGATATTAGACTTCCTTTTCTTCAATGGTTGGATTCTCGAGAACATCATGAGTTTCCTAATATTTTACTTCTTTTTTTGATGATGGTTCTCCAGCGTCATTTCTAACGTCATGTGCGTTTACAATACCTACATCATCATTCACACAAGAATCCTTCCTCGGAAGGAGATTATCATCGAAAACAACATGTATAGACTCTTCTACAACTAAAGTTCTTTTATTAAATACCCGATAAGCTTTAGAATTTAGGAATAACCCAGAAAAATTTCTTCATCACTTTTAGCATCAAATTTGCCAAGATTTTCTTTACCGCTATTTAAAACAAAATATTTACATCCAAAAAGATGAAAATAACTAATGTTAGGCTTTTTATTTTTGAAAAGTTCATATGGAGTTTTCTTTTAAAAATGGCCTAATCATTACTCGGTTTATAACATAACAAGTGGTATTTGTGGCTTCCGCCCAAAAATATTTTGGCAAATTGTTTTCACAAAGCATGGTTCTAACCATTTCTTCTAAAGTTTAATTTTTCCTCTCAACAACTCCATTTTGTTGAGAGGTTCTAGGTGCTGAAAAATTATGGCTAATACAATTAGAATTACAAAAATCAGTAAATCCAAGATTTTCAAATTCAGTACTATGATCACTCCCAACGCTAGTTATGGAGTAACCTTTTTCATTTTGGATTACTTTTGAAAACGTGATGAATTTTTCTAATGCTTCATCTTTAGTACTTAAGAGTAGAACCCAAGTATATCTTTAGTACCCAAGCTAATAGTCCTAATTGGCCCAAAAAGATCTATATGGATCAATTGTAATACTCTACTAGTTGATACATCATTAATGAATTTAAAGGAAGCTCTTCTATGTTTTCTTTTAGCACATGCATCACAAATTTTATCACTATCAAATTTTAGCTTTGGCAATACTCTTACTAAATCTCCTTGAATTAGTCTTTGTAAAACACTCATGCTAG